CACTCGATTGGCGGATGATATTGTTTTTACTATTATTGTTTGCATTATTATTATTTTTTTTTTTTTTTTTTTTTTTTTGATAATTTCGATTTTATGTTCGACTTTTGATTGTTTTTTTTTCCTTTCTGTCTTATAATTTATTGCCTCAAAGGATTAATGTTATAAATTCGATGTTGTCTTGTTCTCCCCCCCCAATTAATACTTGTATCCATTGATTTTTTTTCTCGCCATTATTGTTTATAAAACATTGCGTTTACACAGGCCCAGATACATAATACAGAAAACACATGTTTAATTAATTTGTAATGGCTACACAAATATGAATATTGACGATGTTGGGTTGTATAACTTATGTACCTATAGATCTTAAACATCGAGTTTCTTATAAGGTTGTTTGTTGTTTTTTTTTTCCCATTCTTTTGGAGACGAATACGTTTGGGCTTAAATCCATAAACGAAATGGTTCAATTTAATACTTCTCATTATTAACAAGGAAAAATTAAACTTAAGCGTATTAAGCAAATTCTACAGATCGTCATCTACAATGTTTTTTTCTGAAATGCTGTCGATTTTCAATTCCCAAAAATTTTCCGGTCGATTTCCATTTAAAACGCTAACAATACTCTCCCATCCAGATGTAATTAGTGGATACTTACGTACTCCTATAAGAGGTTCCTGAGTAGTTTAGTAATTGCACTTGCACCGAAACACGTTTGTCGCGGGAATATTATTTAAATTTAATTGTATTTATCAATATTCGCCCAAACGTGTTGCTCCCAGCGTCAAAATTGTCTATTACACACAACCATACATTTTTCTCATACCATTGATTAAATATATGTAGATAGTCCGAGTTAATGGACAAATTGGAAATGGTTTCCTAGACGGGAATTCGTTCATTACGAGGCTATCTACTATGTATTTATAGTAGTACCTACCCACAATACTTTACCGTAACCTGCTGACACAGTAAAAAGAACAATGGCAAATTATAGCCAGAAGGATTGTAAATATTAAACGCAGTTTAATATCTTGCATTTCTTTGCTGCGTTCGGTGAAATGGACTGAGTCCAGT